AACATTGAGTTTACATATATTATTCAGCAATTCAACTCCTAGAGATATGCCCAACAGCATTAAAATATAGTCTCATAAATTTCACCAGCATGATTTATACTATGCAAAATGGGAAACAAACCACATTCCATAAACTTGTGAATGAATAAATATAGTAGATTAATAAAAATAAAGTGTTATTTAAGTATGAAGTCATGCTACTATATGAACGAATCTTGAAAACACTCTGCTAAGTTACAAAGACACAAAGAGCCATATGTTATATAAATTCATTTATCAGAAATGCCCATAATAAGCAAACCCATGGAGAAGGAAGTAGATGAAAGTTTTCTTACAGTGAGGGAAGGGAAGTTGAGAAGATGTTGTCAGTGACCACTGAAACATATGACATTTCTTCTTGGAGGTGGTGAAACTGTTCTGAAATTTATTGTGGCATTGGTTGTATAACCTGGTGAATATACTGAAAACCGTTGAATTGTACATTTTCAATTGGCATGTGTGTTCTATTTCAATAAAGCTGTTATAATAAAATTCCAATGTACATCCATTTTAGAAAAACTAGAAAGCTGAGAAAAACAAAAAAGAAGAGAAAGTCTTCCTATGAAAAGAATGTTTCCCCATTGTTACCATGATTTATTAAGTTAATAAATCCTTATCCTGAAATGAAAGACCCCTCATGGCTTGTCACCTCTTTATGTCTTCAAAATCATTGTCCATCATTCCTAATTTGGCACCTTATGTTCAAACCATACCTAATATTTTCTGCAAATATTCCATATTTCCTGTAAGTTCAGGCATTTGCAAATGTTAGTCTCAGTGCCTGTAAATATATGTCCTTCCTTCGATTTGGCTAGTTGTACTCTTCCATCAGGATTCCACTTAGATAACACCTTCACGAGAAATCTTGTCCTGGTCCTTGGGCCCTTCTGTAACATTTTAGTATCTAACAGTTCCTATACTTATTTCTGTAAAATCATTTAGCATACATACATTTTTTAATGAAAAGCAATTTAAAAATTATGCCCACTAAAAAGTGAAAAAAATTGCGTAGCCTCAAAGATTCTTGAGATTGTATCAAAAGGCTAGAGAAATTGTTCAGGATTTATGAAAAATTTGATACTCTGGCAGAGGATCTGAGTTCAGTTCTCAGCACCCCCATGGTGGAACTGTAAGCAGTTCTAGGGGATCCTGTGCCCTCGTCTGGCCTCCACATTCAGTACCTGCACTGCACATACATCTATGCAGGGAAAACACTCATACACATAAAACAAAAATAAACAAAATATTCAAAGGTCTTAACATTGCTTCTAAAGTCCCCAAAGGGGTAACAAAAAACGGTGTTGTATGGCTATTACTTCCAAACATTTGCTTCTATAAGGAGGCCCATAATACTGGGGAAATAAACAAAATTTAAAAGGTTCATGAAACTTGCAAAGTTTAGGAAGCTCACAAAATTATGACTCACAAAGCCCAGCCCCAAGGTTTTAAAAGCAACAGTTGCTTAGAGAGAGAGGAAACATTTAGATGGAGCAAGCAAGGAGCTCCAGGAATGTAGGTTTCCTAATCATCGCCCATGCTAGAGTGGACTTTTTGGTGATACAGCTGGCATTAATTCACCCATACTTCTGTAAGTAACTGCAATGCACTTATTGGTTGAGCAAGGTGGACTTGCGTGAAACTACTCCATTGTTCTGTCATTAGAGCCCTTTCTGGGGTGAACTAATGTTTGTTCATGTCTCCCCAGGAAAAGTCACAAAACAAAGTGATTGCTGCAGAAACTTTTTAAAATAAATAACTGTTGCAAACTACCCAGACTTTCATCAAGAATATTAATTTACAAATTTAAGAAGACAATGAATGCCAAAATGGATAAATTTAAAGAAAATCCCTAGATTCACCATTATTTTTGTTTTTTATCGTAAAGGGGTGTTGGATTTTCTTTAAAGGCTTCTTCTGCCTTTAATGAAATGATCAATTTCTGTCCTTAAGTCTGTTTATCTGGTTATATTTATTGATTTTTGTTTGTTGAACCATCCCTCCCTCTATGAGATGCAGTCAACTTGATCATGGTGGATACTTTTTTGATGTGTTCTTGCCTTCGGTTTGGGAAGGTGGGATGACTTGAGGGTGGGTGGACAGGCTCTAAAGTTCCTCACCTGGACTTGGCATCAAAGGAAGTCACACAGGCCTGAGGTCATCATGTCACAGCGGGTGGGGTGACTAGACAGGCTTTAGGGACTTTTTATTTCTTACTTATATGTATGTATATATCTGTGTGTGGGCATGTGCACATGCATGTAGGTTTCCACAGTGGCAAGCAGGTGGAATAAGATCCTATTGAGCTGGAGTTACAGACAGTTGTGCACTGCCCAATGTGGGTGCTGGGAGCTAAACTGAGGATCTCTGTAGGAGCAGGAAGTGCTCTTATCTACTGAGCCATCTTTCCAGCCCTATTTGGATTTTTAGTGTATTTGAATCACATGTTTGAAGTTCAAAAGTTCGTTGAGGGGTGGGAAATGTATGAGGTTTCACTTGTTAAACAGTGGTTTTCAGTAAAACTCAGTTGAACCTCGAAAAAAACATATACTCAGAAAATCAACAAGGTGATCAAGATGCTGGTTCCCTAACTTGTGTATTGTGAGTAGTGCAGTAATAGGTATGCAAGTATATCTATAGCAAGCAGTTTTTAATTCACTTGGGTATATATTCAGAAGTAGCATAAATGAAAATAATTATTGAGTGAAAAACTATGAGGTATGTTTTCACTCTATAGACTCTGAAAGTGTCATTAATAGAAAAGAAAATCCTTAGTAATTCATATTCATGGTTTTTCCTGATAGTACATTGAGTTTTTTTTAAAAAGTCAATCTGCAAGCTCGAGAGACAGCTCAGCCAGTAAAGTTCTTGCCACACAATCATGTGAGCCTGGGCTCAATCCCCAGAACCTATGTAAAAACAATCCAGGTGTGGTAGGAGGGTCTTCTATCCCAGTGCAAGGAATGTAGACATAGGTGGATCCCTGTGGTTCACTGCCCAGCCAGCCTAGCCTAAGTGGAGAACCCCAAGCCAGAAAGAGACTATGTCTCAAAAAACAAAAGAATGGCACCTAAGGAGCAACACCCAAGGTTGTCCTTCGGCTTGCGCGCGCGCACACACACACACACACACACACACAGACACGTGTCAATTTGCTTACTAAATAACATATTCTTCCTTAATAATTAGTAAATACTTGACAATTTTTAAAAATTTCATGTGTATGAATGTATTGCCTGCATGAATGTGAGTGCACCCGTGTCATGCAATGCTGTGGAGGTCAGAAAAGGGCCTCAGATTCCCCTGGAACTGGAGTTAAGCATGGTTCGTAGCTGCCATGTGGTTGCTGGGAATCGAACCCAGGTCCTCTGCAAGAGCAGACAGTGCTCTAAACCACTGAGCCATCTCTCAATTTTAAATATTCTCTTTCTATAATTTGCCATTGAAGCCATTTTATAGTTAAAATTAAATAACTGAACAAAACAAATTATCTTTCCAGCAAAAAATAAAAGTAAAAATAAAAACAATATCAGCAGTTTCAAGAAAATGAGAATAATCATTATACTCTTTCTTCCCTTCCTTTCCTCCCATGAAACTAATGATATGCTTATTTGTCATTATAGATTAACTTGCTTTTCCTAGATTGTGTATAAATGAAATCAACCAATATTTCCCTTTTTGTCTGGTTTCTTTCATTCTGCATAATTACTCTGAAATACGTATATGTTTTATCAGAAACATTAAGATACATTAGTATACATTGGTTTCCCTTTGGGGAACACCAAGTCTACCCACACATTATGTACACACATGAAGTATAAATTAGAGGTATAAATTCTGAGAGAAAACATTGAGTATGTTATCTCCACCATTCTTTTTGCAGAATTTGAGACACCTCTGTTAATATATAGATGACACATCATCATTTCTGAAGTATAACCTACTTTCATAAAAAAGACTCAAGCTTCAGAATCACAAGGATAGTTTCCTGAATCTATTGCTTTCTGGCTGAGCAACTGTGAGCAAGTTATTTAACCTCTTTTTTCCCCCTTAACTTATTTATCTTAGAAAAATAAGGATAAGGACAGCACTTCATATGACCATTAAAACTAGATAGAGTAAACATGGGGGGGGGATTCACAGTTTTAAAAGAAACGAGTGTGTTTGAGCTTAAATACAGCATCATAGTGCCATCTGCTGACCATGCGCAATGATTACATTATCTGTGCAGACACTCCATTTCTAAGAAAATTATATACTATTTTAAACCCATGTTTTCTAGCATATCATTGTAAGGACCGATAGTGAGGGCTACATTTGAGAGCTGTTTTGTTGAGTAAGACCCCTCCCCAGGCTATGAATCCATTCATATCAAGAGGTATACTTCAAGGGAAATGAAAGGAACTTTCCCCCTAGCCTGTCCTGTGATGAGCAGATGGTAGGTAGAGTATGTAAGCAATTGCGAAGGGTCCTTATCTATTTGGGTCTGAAGAAGATGCTATTAAAAAAATGAGTTGCTGCTTTCACTTGTTGAGATGTCTTCCCTTCAAGGATCTAGCTAGGGTAGCACTGGTCTCCAGTCCAGTTCCAGTGAGGTTTCAAAAATAATGTAACCCCTATTTACCACTCTAAATGTACACTAAAAGAAGGTCCTTTTTAATTCTACCAATTACCCATCACATAGAGAAAGAACTGCACTCTCAGAGTACCTCTAAGCTCACATCCTCCTTCTTCTCCCAGTGTCACTGAACACCGGCTCTTAAGTAAGAACTTAATATACTTCCTCATCATGAAAGCAAACACTGTGGGGATTGGCTTAGCCTAGTTAGAGCAGAAATCATCAGACTCATACTCCAGTTTCACGAAAGCACCCCCATTCATACTTCCAATACCTCTGAAATGTGTCTCAATAGATGACCACCCATGCCATCCCTCCAATACCATAAATTAGTCAAGACTGATCAATTGAATATGAACTTTATTGTGATTTAGTTTGTGTAAGGCAGTGTGGAAAAGGCACCTCAAAAGTTATATAGACTGCAAAATATGGTAGAAAATGAGTAAGCTTAAAAAAAACCTTCAAAATATATTTTTAAATGAATGCATGCTGCACTAGACTACTACAACTATGTTTCTTATCATTGCTGAAGCGTTGAAATATTGTTGGTGGTGGGGTTTGGGGGTGGGATTTAGAAAGGCGTCATGGAGGAGGTGGAATTTATGTTTATGCTGGGCCTTGAAATAAGGACAGAATATTGATAGACAAAGCTTAAGGGAAGAACTTTTAGAATGACTGACTACAGAAAATTCTGTAGAAACACTGAAAAACAAACTCCTGGGGAGTGAATCTTCCCAATTGAGGGAAACCCCGAGGGTTCTGGGCTAGAACCCCAACTCTCAAGTTGTCCCATAGGGTCTTCAGTACCAGTGATATTAAGGAGGCACAGGGCATTGGGCTTGATTGTGAATCTAGCAGCAGCAAGATGTTTCACATTGCAGTCAGGGACCCCAAACTGGCTGTCCTATTACTAGATGGTTTCTCTCAACTTTTCCATGTATGTGATACTCCACTCATCCTTGTTCTTGCCCACTGACTGCCTGAACGGTAGTTCATGTGCGCCTACATGCGCGTGTGTGAGTGTAGGTGTGTGTGGATGGGTGGGGGACTAAGGTTTTGTCTCCCACTGCAGCTTCTTCCACTTTCCCCTCTTGTGGCACACAGCTTGCTTCCACCTCACTGAAGCTCAGGCCCATCTTTTACTCTCTCATCCTCACTGAACTCCAGCACTTGATTAAGCACCTAGGAAGCTTCCTCTAGATGAAGGTAAAACACTGTGGGGGGGTGACTTGGGTTAGGGCAGGACTACACTTTTCTGGAGCTGGTGATGGTGGTGGTGGTGGTGATGGTAAAAGCTGAGAACTTTAAAAGTCATCTCTGGCTACTGGGTAAAATGCTGCTGGTAAGTCTGTATTGTCAGTCAGGAGCTGGGATGCCAGGCTAGACCAGCTTGGCCTTGATCATCCCTCCTCCCTCAAGATGCCTTACAGGGGAGATACATTGGGCAACTGAAACTAGCAAAGACACATGTATAATGTCCAGACTCTTCTTATTGTCCTACTTGAATCTCACCTGTGGATACCCCAAGGATCTTTTCACAGCAAATATTCTCCAGAAAAGACTGTCACTTCCCCCTGTCCAGCTGCTGGAGGTATATAGGTTATGTAGCTACTGATGCTACTTGAATCGGGAGGTATGGGAAACTTATCAGAAAAGAGGAAACGTTAGTAATTGTGAACTTTCTTTCAACATTTGTGAAACTTAGCTAAGACCTGGCGCCTGACACAGAAAGGTGGAAAATTGTCAGGATTCTCTGAGATTGGCTATTTAGAGCTCAGTGAGATCATCACTGGAAATCACTTTGAAGCTGATGTGGCCTTGCTTGACTTTGGCAGTGGGACCACCCTTCTTACGCAGGTACAGAGATTTCAGATCACGGCAGTCACTGGGGTCAGCATCCAGAGTAACCTGCCCCAAGAACTGATCACAGAATTTTCTGCTGTTCCAGACCTGAAAAAACAAATTAAGAAAGTGAGGATGAACAACTATCTGTGACACTGATGCTTGCACAGTGACATTTAGAACATAAAAGCAAGACACAATTTTTATCCTTTCCTGATGGCTCTTTGGCTGAAAAGATGATGTCCCAATAATATAAGATGAAAGCAGATCTAAGGATCTTCTTTGGCTTGTGGGTTAGATACCTAAGGATGATCAGAATTATTAAGTCAGAAATACTGCTAGACAGCAGTGGTCCATCTATGTAGGTTATCAGAACTGACATATTCTTCCTTTCACAGGACTTTATGGTATATGTGTTCACAAATGTACTTGTGAGCACGTGGGATCTGCCTACAATGAAATAAATGTAAGAGCTTTCAGGTACAGATTAATAAGAAAGTCAGTGTTTTACTTAATGAGAAGTATTTTGAGTATAAACCAAGTGAATAACAAAATAGCTTTTTGCTTTACTTGCTAAATATTCACTCCCAAAGAGTCAGGTATCTTACCTGAATTATTATGGGAATGTCAGTGGTCCTTCTGTAGAAAATGGCCTGGGTATCAAAAATGGCATGCACGGTATTCTTCTGGATAGGGGAGCGGACTTCTTCCTTTCCACACTTAATGACCAAATATGGGTTTACAGCTGGAACAAAGTGGCACTTTTTTTAACACAATGATTAAAGTTTCCTTTCTAGAGAGGCAAGCAGCTATTTCATAAAGTCAAATCTGGGACTTTCCACATAACTGGAGCACCACAATGACATAGGTCTCACTACTTGTGTTCCTTCTTCCCTTTAGTTTTCCATATTTTATACAGGAATTCAAAAGTGAATATTATGTAGACATTGCCAAAGAAGTTCACATCCCATTCCGTAGTATGGTCGACGCCCATCTTGACATCATCTACACTGAAAGTACCATTGGAAATAAGTTCTTATCGTGTTTTCTAATCACACGTGAAATAAATAAAGCTGAAGTTTGTTTTCCCACATTCCCTGTCCTTTCTTACTTTCATTGGCATACTTCTTCTCCAGGCCCTCAGCGCTGTGAACAGTGATCTGAGTAACTACCTTTGGGTAGCCACGTGCCAGGTTCCAGCAAGACATCTTAGGCATATCCATAGTCAGTTCCCTAGAACATTAAAAAGATGTGTCATCTCACAATAAAATGGACCTGCCTAAACAGAGTCATAATTAAAACACACAAGAAGTTAGATGTCCTAGCCCATTTCTCCCTCAGTCCTAGAAATGGCTTGTATTTCATGAGTATGGTTTCCCTTTCTCTTGTTTTAAGAACATGCACGTAAATATCAGGATCACTATGGCTGCAGTGAAAAGCTAACTCTGGTGGACCTGCACCGAGAACATAATAGAAGAGCACTGAGGAATATCTGCTGCTCAAGAAAAGACCAGAGAAGAGAAGGTAAAATAAAATACAAATGGGAGCACGTAGGTGACAGATCTCCTACCAAATGGAATTTCAGAGCTCTAAGTTTTACACTTCCTTTGGAAAATTCCATAGCTTCACTTTGAGAAATATTTCAACTACCATTGATTCAACTAGTGAGGTTTGACTTGAACACATCATCGCATTGCATGTATGAATAGAAGAAAACTGGCAAAAGATTTAGGATAGAAGCAAAGAAGCGAACAAGGGTTTTAAAGAGTTTCCCAATAAAACTTAACCTGAGTTGTACAGGCACTTCCGAGAAGATTCTCAGCAGAAACTCGCTGGTACGGCCATGTTGGAACATGGTTGGAACAAGCACATAGTTGCCTTTCTTCAGGTACTTGCTCAGAAACACAGTACGGGTGTCAATATAGGTGGAAGTCCCAGCACGCTCCTGGATATACAGATGGTGAAGGCGGAATCTGCGGTTCATCTCCACCTAGAAACAAAATAGGTTTTTTTCTAATTCGAGTTTCTACATTGGAAAGTTCTACCACTTCTTTCTCCTTTATCCCTTCATAATTCTCCTAACTCTAAGCCTTCATAATTTAGATTCTGAATGTCTTTATTAGTTCTGCTACAAATGCTATTCTTACCTTGAAGAGCTCAAAACCAATGATGTAGTTGTCAGGTCTTCCCATTCGGCGGTAAGTGCGCAAGTCCTTCTGCTGCAAGGACATGATGATCTTGTGCCCATCCTCGGGCACAGTGAAGATGTACTGAAGGAAAGGGGCCACCAAAGCACTAAGTTAGCACTCCCATTTCAGGTAATCCATTCTAAGCTTTAGGGGATAAAACTCTACATTGGAAAGCACAGTCTGGGGTTAATTTCTGGGCTTTAATATTGACCAGATAATGAAGCCTTGGAAAATTAATTCATTACTAAGTATAGATCATTATACTTGTTTCTCTCTGTGGCATTCAGCATGTACTCGAGACAACTTCATTTTAAGTCTTTAATGTCAAAGACAGTATGCTTTTAATAAGTAAGTTCCTGATAAAGTATTGGCTTCCTACTAGTATTATAGTGCCATGCTTGAAAAAGCTAGATACAAAAAGATTCTAGAACACAAAGACAAAATTTTTAATTCCACTCAATCAAACTTTGCCACACAGCCCTGGAATAGATTGATAATGCCAGTCTTCCATTTCTTTGGAGAGTTATGCTTTATTACCATCACTTTAGGGAAGCTATAGCCTTTCTGAGAGCTTTCCAAATATTATTTGGCAAACCATGCTGCTATTGGGAGAAAAAAAAAACTAAAAAGCACCAGATATTTCTATTTCTGTTTATGTCTTTTCCTTTAGTAAGAAACAGAAAACAAGTGCCCAGCCAAGGGCCCTGAATCTTCTGTAGTATTGTATATGGGAGTGAGGTGTGTGGAGGGTGTACGTATGAAGTTTATTTAGGGACAATTAAGATGGAAGCAGAACAAGGAAACTATGAATTAAGTGAATCAGTACATCAAACCTTAGTGTTATCTAAAATGCCCTGGTAAAGAGATCCACAGAAAGAGGAGACATGCCCATGGGCAGTGAGGCAACAACACAGTCAGAATTGTCTCCTAATGATTTGAACCACCTTCAAGTCAACTATTGTAAATTCAGGCTTGGGATGCGGCTATTTTTCCCACTTAGGATGTGCCTCACCTGGCCACAGATCTGTCACCTGGAATAGGACAGTGACTGTAGATGGAAGAAAAGGAATAACTGACATAATTGACAGGGCAGTGATTCAAATCCTGAGAAAAATCGTCTGGTTCTAGAAGTGAAAAGCAAGGTATGATGGGTTTCAGAAGTGTATCCTTTATGAATAGGAAGATAGACATAGTGAATAAGCATCAAGTAAACTGGGCAGTGAAGACAAATGAGGAAGAACTGAGATAGCATCTGGAAGCATATCTTCTCTGTGCAGCGTAAGACCATCACAGGAAACCAGGAGTTAAGAACTGTAACAATTTGATGAAGAGAGAAGCAGCTGAAGATGCCGACCTGAATTTGATGTTACCAAGGTATGTCTCTGCAAAGACACCTTGTCTCCTGAAGGTTATAAGCATCTGAATCAATCCTGAGAGTCCTGGTTGATGAATATTACACAAAATATTACACAATAGATTCAAAAACGTAATGCTAAATGAATACTCCAGAGGATCAAAGTGAGACCTGGGTTCTTATTGCCTGGATAACTTGGAGGCAAAGGATAATAATTGACACTAACCTGGGGATTCTGAAGGAAGGTATCACGGTTGTTATAGCAGCCTCCTGAGCGGTTCATTAGTGGGTCATCATCCACAGTCCAGCATCCCAGAACTGATTCTAGCTCCTTGCGGCCAAAAACAGGGTTGTTCACATTGCGGCAGACATTTAGTTTGTGAAAGTTGTGGCAAAAATCTTCCAGGCTCATCCTGCATGAAAGGAGCAGGGGAAATATCAATGTAGTACTTAACGTTTATCTCTTTCTAATAGAAGTCCCAGTTCCCTTGTTGCAGGAAACCTCTGCTTACCAAAACTCTCCATCATCAGACATAACAAGTCCTAGGTTCTTGCGATCTGTTACAGTCAGTTGCTGCCACTCTTCAGAACTAAAGGGAAATAAAGATAAAAAAGATAATGCCATTATACTTGTCAGTATGTTAAGAGAAGAGAATGTGTGAGGATCAGGCCTACTTTATTTGCCCTCTGGCTGGGCTGCAGACTGCCATGCCTGACTAGCTCAGAGATGTCACTGTGGTTTGATAGTCTACTGGTAGTCTGGATTGGGAGAACTACAGAGATTTGGAAGTGTAGCAGTGAAGGTGAAATGTGACTCACATTTCACTCCAAGGACCACTCCATTCTTGTCTTCCCAATGGGTTCCTCAGACGAACCATATACAGTTTCTCCGTGCTGAAAACTTCCACAAGTCTTTCTCCAAGACAGATCTTGCGAATATCAGTCATGGTGTAGGTATGGCCCTTCAATAGACCCCAATCTGTTTCAACTTCTTGTTCCTCCTGACTGGGAGACTGAAAGCAAAGAAAGACACATAAAAGCATAGGAATTGTAAGACCAAAGTCCTAAATCCCATTCTTCATTGGTTGGGTGTGGTTGAATCTGATTCTCACTATCCAGATAGAAATTTGATCCTGACAATCAATCAATCAATCACAAAATCAAATGAAAGAGAGAAAATAATGCAATATAATAACTCATTTCTAAAGGTCTGATTCCAAGTCATCACTGCACAACAGTGATATGAAATGTGATAAAATATGCTAGGGCAGATTCATTCTTTCATTGAGCCGCTATAACTCCAGGTGCTGAACTGAGAGTATTAATTTACCAGAAGCTATTTATATCAGCTTGGATGTCGCACTGACCCTCAGTGTAATGAATGGTTCTAAAGGATAAAAAAATTGATGTTCCCATGTTTCCATGCCAGGGAGTTGTGTCTATGTTGGCTTTCTGGGTTCCACTATTTTTTTTTTTTGGTGTGTGTGTGTGTGTGTGTATGTGTGTGTGTGTGTGTGTGCATGTGGATTTCCGGGTTAAGGGCCATGTTCCCTGCTAAATTTTGTCATCTTATGTGCCAGGAGTGGGTATAAAGCAGTTGTTTGGGGTGAACACAAACCTCAATGGAGCAGCAGATCAGACCTCCTTTGGTGAATGTTTTGTATAGTTCTCTGAACAGCTTGTACTTCTCCTCAACAAGATCAGTATATCTTCCTTTCTGCATATCAACAATTTCAGACAAGGTGCCCGTGAAGTCCACGATGATATCAGCAATAGTCAAACCATCCAGGGCCTCATAACAGCCTAGCAGTCTGGAGGCAAATATGCAAAGTTTTCTTTATAAAATTATTTATCCAGGTCACAGGCATAATGTTCCCAAGAATTAAAACAATCCCTGCTGAAACTTTACCAGCTGGTTTTTCTCTAAATATTAAGTGGGAATATTTTGAGATTACAGCTAGAAATTTCTAGGCTTAGGCTATCTTGGTAAAGGATAGCTCATGCAGAAACTTCTTTCTACAGATACATGAAAAATGAGGTGACAATTCCATGTGAATTGTAGATTAGGAAGCTCAAAGGATACCTGGGAGACCTGGGGCCAAGTAAGGATTTTTTTTTTTCTCTTCAACTTTATTGAGGTATAATTTTACATATAGTATCTTGTAATCATTTATTGGGTACAGTTTGATGAGTTTTGACAGATGCATATACCTGCAAATATAGTCCAGCTAGCACAGAGAACATTGCTATCCCGTATTATTTGCCTTTCTGTTGCTATGATAAAACACTATGACCAAGGCAACTTATAGAAGGAAGAGTTTATTTGAGCTTATGGTTTCTAGGGGTTAGAGTCCATAATGGAGGGGAGGCATGACTGCAAAGGTGGCTGGAGCAGAAAGTCATGTGATCACATCTTCAAGCAAGCAGGCCAAGTAAGGATTTTACAAAACCAGAGCAACTGATTTGTCTGTCACTTAGGACTTCTGATAGCCAGACCCAGGTCCAAAAAAATTCTTTACACCTGACTGAGATTCAATCCCATTTTAACTCTGGGGTTGAGTTGGGAGAGAATGAGCTCTTAAAGACAAATGTGAACTTTCTTTCTTCATGTATCCTGAACACAGACAACTCAATCCTCTCCTTACTTTGCATAAGCTTTTTCCAGTAGAGCATTCCAAAACTCATTCATGGAGGTGGAAAAGGAGAAGACCAGATCTCCATTTATGGTGGGCAGCAAGTCATCGATCACCACCTCAGTCCATTCTCCAAAATGCCAGAAACGGAAGCGAAATATCCCAGCATATTTATCTGGTTTACGAGGATCCCATTCCTGTTCCTTATGGTTTGGAATTGTCTGGAAAAACAAGAGCATTTTTTTCAACCGCTATTCACAAGAATATATTCAAATTACAGTGAAGTTCTAGAAAAAACCATAAAGCAAAAGGAGACATTCCAGATACAATTGGTTTGAGTCTGGATTGGAGAAGCCTAGGATAGGGCATTTGGTCCACAGTTTCTGCTTCACTAAGTCAGTTTTGCCGAGTGTGATATTACTATTCCTGTTCTGAATACATAGGATGCTACACACTCAGGGATTTCCCATGGATAATTTATAAACCCAACAAAGGACTAGTTGCATAGATTCATGATAGAATGTTTAAACATATGAACATGTTATTGAAAAACATAAAATTGGGGCTGGAGAGATGAGCCACTGATTAAGAGCGCTTGCTCTGCAATCATAAGTATTGGAGTTCTGATCCCAGGACCTGAATAATAAGTGGCGTTTCATTACAACTGCCTATAATTCCAACTCCAAGGATGGCAGACATAGAAGGATCACTGGGGCTTTCTGATTTCTAGTCCAGTGGAGAAAATATGAGCCCTGGCTTCAGGGATAGACCCTGACACAAAAGAATTAGAAGGGTAAATGAAAGAGATACCCAACACTGTCTTCTGGCATCTAAGTATGCATGTGGATGTGCACACACCTCACACATATACATATTCACAAATAAGTAATAAAATGAATCTTAAAAATTTGAAACCAAATACAAAGCCTACTCTAGTTTGTTTAAAAATGTCCATTCTAAAGTTTTATATAGATTTATCCTACATAATATAGATTTTATTCATGTTATGAATAAAATTACATTTTTGGAATTTTCTTTTTTTAACAATCGCACACTAATATTCCAATTTTGTTTTTATGGGGAAAATGTTCATTGTCCCAAATCAAATGTTCTTTGTTGTTTTGAATTCTATTTCAATATCAAAGGAATTTTGTATTATTAATAATTTATTAGAATGTTTTCAAGGATCTGTTTCCATCGTTCTCACCTTTTCTGTTATGCATAAATGTGATAATGACTTCCTGGCTCCTGCTGTCTCTATAGCCAATAGGTACAAAGAACATAAAATGAAGAAATACCAAGTCAAAGCACTACAAATGACAACCAAAGATCAACTAGTATGTGTACCAAAATAAGTAGGGAAAAATATCCATTGTAGAATCTAGTGCATGTGGATTTTCACTGCAAAATTCAGCTTGTCTGTATTTGTGATGATTCTTAAATGGTATGGAAGGAAGTCAGATTGTTAATATTATTTTTGGCTTCAGGAAATTGAAAAAAGTTAGAAAATTATGAGCTGGTTTTCTGTAAAGTTATTCAAGAAGAAAGTGGAAATAGATTAAGGTCCCGCAGAAGGGAGAATACCTTTGTCCAATGACACTCCTGAACAGTCAAACAGGAAAATGCAGGGACCATTGACTTATGCCCCAGTCTCCCCTGGATCAGCTGATGATTGCTGATGTTGCCCACAATCAGATGGGGGTCATCACAAATGTCCTGTGGATATAAGAATTGGTTATCCAATAGTCCATGAAGAGTTTTTGAAAGTCACTATAACCTAAGCGAGGCAGGGCAGGCTTCATAAAGGAGAAAGGGTTAGGGTTAAAGGTGGCCAGGATTTTTATAGATGGGATAAAGGGAAGGCTGAATGGACTATGTATGATAGCAAATGACAAAACTGTGGATCACCTATGCACGGGAAAAGGGTCAAGTCAAGAATGACTGAAGAAATAGAAGGAGAAAATAAAATTCAATAGGAGGACATGTGCTGGGGTGGAGCGCTTATCATTGGAGTCTGGAAGCATTTTCACCAATCAGAGATCTTTGAAAGAAGAGGAGAACTAAGGATTAATACATTGCATTCTGATCCGATTTTTGTTAGGATGAGACTTTTTGGAAGCATCTGTACTTGGAAGAGTGATTACATGATTACATTTAAGAGACAAGGTCACAAAGTTATCAGAAAAAAGTGATCGGGAGATATGGAAGGAGTTGCAGGGGAGGGAGTGGGCATGGATTTGATCAAAACACCTTATATGCATGTATGAAATTCTCAATAAATTACTTTTTAAAAAAGAGACAAGGTCCAATAGAGGTGAACATTAGTGTATCTGCCTCTCTAGGAAAATGAGTTAGAAGGCCTAACACAAAGTAAAGGCAGCAGCAGTCTCCCTGGCAACAACTTTTCCCAACCTACACCTTTGTATGAATATAGATAACAGCAGCATTAATAGCAGGTGCAATAGACCATGCACAGGAACACTTCAACAGACACTCCTCCCACAGCGGATATTCCAAAGGGATCTGTGCATAGAGTAGTATAGTACTTGATTGGGGTGTATGTGTGTGTTTTCATCTCAGTATATCATAAGCTATGTCATTCCCTCTGTGAATAAGAAAAATGAGACCCAAATAATGTTATTATAAAAAATGTGATCAAAGCAGAATAGAGCCACTTTCAAAATACAATCGGTGCCTACAGGAAAAGAATCCACAAAGTTCACCAGGTGGAAGAGTATGTACTATACTGATTGAAGTACTTGAGCTGACTACAATTAAGCTGTTGGGAAATGGAAACATCAGGTAGAAAGAGCAGGCATAAGCAAAGGCATAGAAGCATACATGACACCATAAAACTGCAAACATGATTGTGTGGCTCAGAGTATCAGCACTTGTAGCGTTCAAAGGCATCAAATACCAATGAAGTCTTGATAGATGGAAACAATTTCATGGAAGAGGCTGTTGGCCCATACCTTGACATCCTGCTTATGCCACAGAAATAAATCCTAGTTGCGAATGGAAAGAAAATCTAGACATACTCCCTTTAAAAGAAATTATTAAATAGACACGGCTATATTTTTCTTGTGCTCAATGCTCTTTTTTCTAAATGGACGTAATTCTCTTTGATGAACGATCTGGTCTACAGAATGTAGCAGTCCATATATTTGTTAAAAGCCAAAATAACTCTGGAAAGAAATAGGCATTCTGGGCAGGGACCCATTCAAACAGAAGATTAATTGGGTATGTTTCTGCCAAAAGAAGATGATGAGATGGGCTGTCGGCTTTGCATTTTCTGCTTTTTAAAAGATGCATGTCTGGTGTCTTATCACTACATCTTATCATAGGAAAATACATCTATCTTATTAAATAGTTTATGGGTTGTCAGCTGGATTTTTCTTCATTTATTGAATACAAAGCAGGTGTGTTGGATGCGTTAGATCCTGATGATTCTTCTCTTTCTTTGCTTTTTCTAATATAGAACTAAGAATCATTTTTCCTCACTAGGCCAGATATCATTTTATTTGGAGCAATACACAAAGTTATACAGTGATTTCTTAGATCTCGATGAAGCCATAAGATTGTTTTCTAGCATGGAAAACAGGAAGGTAAACACTGATAGATGAAAAAGTTTGTTTTTATATTAATAAGGCAAATTATTTGATGATTTTATGTAGAATTACTAGTGATTGGGGTTATTTACAGTGTATTTAATTTGCACAAGCAGGAGTTTACAGTCAGTCAATATTTTTGACATGGCAACTTCAATTCAAAATATGAAGGGTCATGTAAGAGAGCCAAAAGACACATAAACATATATAAAATTGAAAAACTGGATCATTAGTGTATTTACCTGGGTATATTTATTAGGTATAACATGTATAAACATATATATTCATATCCATATATATGATATATTCATAGCTGTGTGAAATCATAATTCAATATAAATTTGGGGAAAATCATATTTCTTATTCTGTCCTACAACCTGATCTATTCTTATTTTGCTTCACAATTACATATAGCATATATTTAATGGTAGATTTTAAAACACAATAAAAGTCAAAGAATGTCAAGAACAGAAGAGATTTTAGAGGCTATCTGGTCAACTTCTTTATTTGGCATCCAAAGAAACAGATTCAGATAGAGGCAGTAAGTTGTTTCTCAAGGTATCTAGCGTGTTAGTATGATTAAAATATACTGTTAGAAAAGGGACATCAAGACTTCAGCCGGCCCATCCATTTGCCTTTAAGCTTATCTGTGGCCTATATAATATAAAATGAATTAGTATTGTGCAGCTCCCCAGGGATGAAGATGCTTGACTTCTTTCAGCTTTCCATCCCAATATTGTATGCATCTGCTTAAATTCCATTTTTGCAAGACTTTCTTAGCTTCTGATTTTAAACTAAATACCTCCAACTGGCATTGATTTCCTGAATTCAAGTCACTAAATATGACTCCATCTTCCACTATATGTAAGTATCATGATGTGAAACATAGAAAGAAAACATTTAAAAGTCGTAACTTGTATTTCTTAAAGGAAGTGAAACATTAAATGATTAGAAAATAGCCAAAGAAAAAGGATAAGGGTACTGAGCCAGTGCAAGTCTAACAGGCAAATGACTTTCTGGTCATAATTTGAAAATAATGAAATGGCTGTTTATTGATTTTTTCCTGTACTTTGGAATACATTGGATATCTTCCTGTTGAGGTTAATAAAGGAAGATTAGAAATTGTTTTTCTGTAACTTAAAGCTGAGATGCAGGTGGGACATTCAGCCTGAGCTATGCTGGTACAGTAAGAGTGGGGTTCAGACAGAGGTGACAATGCACACATCCATAATATTTGGGTGGCTTGAGAATAAGTAGGAGATGTGGGAGATGTGGAGTTCCTAATGGCTCCAGCTGTGTTGGCACAGTTAAAGTGGTCCTTGAAATGAGATATTTGTCAAGGCAAAATAATTTCTTAGGTGGGAAACACACCCAACTAAGAAACTGAAGACACAAAAAACTAGCGTTCCACACATATCCTCAATGCAAGCTGAAATATTCTGTAAGTAAACCATCTTTTTAAGGAAATATATTCTCTACTCTGAGCATTAACAGGTCTCTTAATTATGCTCAGCTCGCTTCCCTTCCCATGGCCACTTGCCAGAAGACAACATGCACTGACCGATGAGGACTGTGGTGCTGCATAGGTCATTCTGCTCCCAAGAATTACATGCAGACCTTTAGTGCAGAGACCAGTGCTGCAGCAGTCTCTCAAAGAGTCAACTTCACTTGCTGGAAAATTGTATTTCTGCACGAATATTTTGTCATAAGTAAAACATTTTCTCTGTTACAAGGAGAAATCGGTATGAAATCTAGGACTAACAACTTGAGTTCATTTTCAAATTCTAATCTAGACAACAAATCATTATATAATGATATTCTTTTTTTTTTTTATTTTATGTGTATAAGCGTATTGTCTGCATGCATGTCAGTGTACCCATGTCGTGCAATGCCACGGAGGTCACAAGAGGGTTTCAGATTCCCCTGAAACTGGAGTTAAGAATGGTTCATAGCTGCCATGTAGGTGCTGGGAATCGAACCCAGGTCTTCTGCAAGAGCAGTCAGTGCTCTTAACCACTGAGTCATATCTCTAGCCCCATATATAATGATATTCTTATTTGAACGTTCAGAGTCTTGGTACAAGACTCTAGGTACAAAGCCCAAACTTCTTCATTGGGAATAATTTACATTTTCATTCAGTGGAATACTACTCAACCATGAAAAGGAGCAAACTGATACATGCTATAATATGGATGACCCTTGAAAATACACTAAGTGAAAGAATTAAATAAATGTTAAAATTACATTTTAAGGGAAAATTCCGTAATAGACAAATCTGTATAGAAACTGAAATAGGTTAGTGGTTACTAGTAGATGTGAGCAGGCTGGGAAATTCACTGAAAATGAACACAATGGGAGAAAATACTTAGGACCACTTACGTGGAAAGACAAGATCTCCGGGGAACAAAGAATTAATGAGCAATCTGAACCCAAACTGCTGTACCGCAGTGTCACAGTCAGTTCGTAGATGGAAATTTCTATTAGAACAGAGTATTGCTTCCATTACTATTCTCTCATTCGCTGTCTTTCTCCCAAGCCTACATATTGTGTTTCTCCTTAAGTCTTTCCCTGCCATTATTCTAACCATCATTTTAACCCAAAACTTTATCACCTTCCTCTCCCACTCAGACAATGTAGTGAAATGCCACTGGGTAGGGTGCTTCCCACAGGAATACTGAAGAAGAGCATTGGCAATAGAGGTATAACTCAAAGCTTGACCAGGAGATCTGGCAGAAGATCTTGTGCAGGAGCCATTTCTTCTTCCACAGCTGGCTGTGCAGATTCCCAAGAGGCTTTGTTCTAGATAAGTCAGGGATTAGATGTGTCTGACTCTAAGACAGTATTGTAGGTGGACATGAGTCAGTAAGGAAAAAAGCCAGAATGAATGGAAAGAACTAGAGAAAGGATTTATGTGGGAATTTATCAGGCCAATTTCAGCTTAAAATTCATATCTACAGTCTTAAAACACACTTCAACTTAGTATAACTCAGTTTTCATAATTTATCAAGACTGTGAGTTGGGGTTCAGGAGGACAAGAAAGCTCAGGAGCATATGGTTTGGGGAAGACACGTGTGTGCCCAGAATGCTATGAGAAAGCCTGGGGCCACTGGCTCATTGGAGGAGCAAAGGAGAAGGGTTTTCCTCTTCAGGGTATGAGTAGATCATCTGCCACTGAACAAATGCAAAACATATTTATAATTCCTGTGTATCTAAGTCTCTTTTAAACAGCAAGAGCCATGTGTGGAGATACAAGCCTGTAATTCCAGAACTTAGGGGTGCCCAGGCAGGACGATGAAGAGCTCAAGGCTAGTCTGGAACACACAGTGAATTCAGGCCGGCCTGTACCATGTAACGGGATTCTGTCTCCAAACAAAAACACAGACTAAAACTAGCAAGTGGGATAGGAGGGGAGCCCATGTTTGCCCCACAAAGATATTGTGAACCTTCCTATAGTTAAATTTGTTCAAATATCAATGGTATTCAGGGTATGGGTTCTTAAAAGGCAGAAGTTTTGAACACAGAAGAGACAGAAACCTCAAGATTCAGTCTGTGGATATAGTGGTAGAGAGCTTGTCTACCACAGTAAAGACCTGGGTTTGAGCCCTAGATTTGCAAAAATAGTATGCCATACACAGTTGCATATACCTGTAGTCCTAGCTACTTTGCAGGCTGAGGCAGGAGGATGAGAAGTTGAGACATTTTCTCAAAATAAAAATTTTAAAGAGCTAATGTATGTAGCTCAGTAGTCCAACATTTATCTAGCGTGTACAAGGTCACAGACTTCATCTCCAGCACAGGAGAGAAGAGAGAAGAGTGAGAAATTTTGGTTAATCATGTCACCTATACGTTAGAACCTTCTGGAACAAAAGCCCTGATTGACTGTGAGGCTGTATGATACGCCAAGAGAAATGATGTCTTTGTGCTTCCCTGTGAACCAGGACCTCAACCTTCCTAATGAGTTAATGAAGGGCAATGACCCATCTGGTCCTGAGTCAATTCAGAGAGGTCTAGTACTGTCTCTCAGCTTTTCTGATGGGCTGTCAGAGAACTTTGACATGGTTCTTGACCAAAAGCTTGTCCTCTATTCTGGTTGGAAAGGAATCCACAACTTTTAGGAAAGGCTCAAGTCTAGAGCTTTATTTCTCTCCAGTCTGCAAGAGAACTGCTCAATTTGAACACATGGTGATTGATTCTCCACACAAAACGCCATATAATTTCCTTTTTGAATGCTTTAAAATAACATTTCATGTTTCCACCATAGTCCGTACTCATCCTCCTATCCAGCATGGGGGTGCTTTGTCCCAGGCTATAGTAGTGTGGCATAGAGCAAGCCCTCCGAATGGTTCTCAAGTGCCTCTCCCTTTCTGCTTAATAACACTGTGCTCCCACAATGCCTTCCCTAAGGAGACGTGGATTCAATTTGTGAGTACATCAACACAGTGAAGACAAATATAAGTACTGACTATAAAGAAGCTACAAATGTGTCTACAAAAAGAGGTGCAAACAATATGACAACACAGAAGAAAAATCTCATGTGGACTTTGGAGTCAAACCTAGATTCAAATCTTAGCTTGCCAGTGGTTGTATCCTGAGTGATTCTTCACCTTCCCTTTGAGACCAAGTTACCTCATCAACATTATGGGCAGAGTATGTACAGTTACTTTGTTTTCTTTTGATATTTATTATTATTATTATTATTATTATTATTATTATTATTATTTGTGCATGCACAAGTGACACCATGGAATATGTGTGGAGGTCAGAAGACAGCTTGTGGGAGTCAGTTCTTTCCTTCCACCATGTGAGTTCTAGAGACCAAACACAGGTTGTCAGCCTTGACAGCAAGCACTCTTACTTGCTGAGCCATCTTGCAAGCCCCTGTTATGTTTTTAAATCAGGAAATTGTATTAAACAAAAGAAATTGCAACATACTTACCTTGTTATGTTGTGGTTAATAGATGGAAATGAAATAATGTATACAGAACTTATAGAACACAGACACTTTCATCAGAGTAGCATGTCATACATGCCTTTTCTGCCCCTCCCTCTGTGCTCTCTGTCTCTCTCCCTGTCTCTGTCTCTCTGTCTTTCTGTCTCTCTGTCTTTCTGTCTCTCTGTCTGTCTCTCTATCTCTCTCTCTCTCTCTCTCTCTCTCTCTCTCTCACACACACACACACACACACATGCACACACACACATATTTCCTTACCCTAGAAGGAGTATTGCTTGCTTCAGAAGAAAAGTGAAAAATGGACTATGGACTATTGTCGAAGTTATGAAGATTTTCTTCCTTTCCCTACTAATCCATCTAGGATTAAATATACAGAATTTGGATGATGAAGGCAAAGGACAAAAGAATTGAGCCAAGACATGGGGAGGGGGGATGCATCTAAAGACACACCAGCACAGGTAGTGCTATATACTTGGTTCATATCTGGGGAATGGCTTCATGTTGGCTTCCAATTTTGCTGCCCACCAGACCACCTCACACTGCCTCTAAGACCTCACCCCCATCAATCATTCTCTCTCCTGCATCTTCAACCTCTTCTTTACTGTCTACTCCTTAGCCTGTAAGTATGCTCAAGTCTGTCCCATTTTAAAAGAACATGCATCCAATACATTTCTTTCAATTTCCTGCTTCCTTTCAGCTCCTTCTGCCCATCATTAACATCATGGATTCATAAGGGTGACCCCCTGACAAGATCTCTATTTGTTTTCAACTATTTTTTGAAGAGAAAAAGGTTTTACCTCTTTGCATCCCCAAATACTGGCTAATGAGTTCTGCTCATGATTCTCAGATTTTTATTTCAAGCAAGCAGATTTATCTGCAGCAATGTCAACTATTTGAGGCATAGAGAGGCAGAACTCCCAATCTCAATGTTTCTCTCTTTTTTTTTCAGTTTATGACTCTGCAGATTGAACCTCCACTTTACTGCTGAGTTACGCCTCCAACTGCCAGTCCCACAGTTTCAATGGCTATCATTCTAAGATATGTCCTTTAAGTCATATAGAAAATAAGAATCTTACTGAAACTAATGTATTTTTGCACCCCCTGGTGGCAAGATGCATGAACTAAAGTAACGCTTGGACTTCCATTTAAGGGTTTTAAGTGGTGGAAATAAAATAAAAAATAGTTGACTCCTTAAAGAAGCAAATATTGAGTTGGTGACTATGGTTGTTCCATAATCAGGCACACTAAGTTATCCCCTTAAAATGACGTTTTCAGGATTTTGTGAAAGTCCAAGAACTCACATTTTACAAAGCTCTCCATGGCCTATGTACATGATCATCAGGAAGGAGCTCAAAGAGAATATCCTTCTGTCCAGTTATACCCTTTTGATACAGCAAGGGTGCTATTTATTTTCCAGACCCCATCGCTATATCTTATTACACATTGAGCTGTCATTCATATTGAGTGTATGACAGTGTCTTGATCCCTGCTTCGAGACTGCATACAGATGTTCCATAACAAACTGTAATCATTAAGAGTTATCATTAATGAATGGTGAAAGACTGCAATTTTATGTGAATTCTATCAGTCAACAATGGGATGATACAATAAATGACATTCAACAAGCAACTTAAAAGCCTCCCTCCTCTAATGCAAGTTCCGTCTTCTCCCTGTAGAGTTCTCTTTATTGAGGATCAGTGTCTGAGATTCTTCTTGATGCTCTGACATTATCTTTAATTTTCTATGCTAGTTAGCTTAGTAGAGAGACAAAAGTAGAGTTGCTTTCTGGATTGCTATATTTACTCAAAGAAGTTCTAAAAGTAAGCACATTATATTTCCTGTTTCACTGTTGCATTTTTTAAATGAATAATCTAACTGAATTTGACTAAATTTTGAGTCTCCTCAAGCTAACGCCTGGAACACACACGCCATTTTAATGTTGGCTCTGTGTGAGAGGTGGTAAATATGTCAGTTCATTTCTGGTAATAAATTTTAAATGTATATGCGTATGGAAAAATCATGCCATCCATAAATACTTACAGTTTTAGTGGTGAATTATACCACAAGAGAGAGAGAAAGAGAGAAAGAAGATGATTTAGAAGGAGGAGGAGAAGAAGCAGAAGAAGGAAGGAAGGAAGGAAGGAAGGAAGGAAGGAAGGAAGGAAGGAAGGAAGGTTGGTTGGTTTACTTCCAAATTTTTCTAAACAGTAGGTAAGTGTAAGTGAAATAGTGAGTCAAGTGGAGTTTTTGAATCAGAAGGCCAAACAGACAGAAAATGGGAAGAAAAATGAGAGTTACCTGGGGACGTTTCCACACAACCTTTCCTGGAAGCAATCGGTTGTAAAAGAGAGAATCATTCTCGGGCAGAAAAGTGGGGTCACAGAAAAGTCTGCCATCTTTGATGCATTCCTGCTTCAGTTCTTGGTACTTCTGGTTTTTGAAGAGCTTCAGAGGAGGACCCATTGTGTCCAACTATGCCTGGAATGACAAAAGTTGATGCTTTGGGGTAATAAGTTCTCAAGTCTTTCAAGTATTATGTGAAATCGGTCAAACAGCAGTCATTGCACTGACTTTCTCCCAGAACTGGGGTACTCTACATTTGCTTTCCAAGGAAAAGCTATCACGTTCAAGGAAAGACAGGCTGAAGCTCCATAGCTAATAAATGTTGGGCTTTGTGGGAGCACCTAACTATTTTAGGACCTCAAGTTGTTTATATGCCAAGTGGGACAATATGCACCTTAACAATATGATTGGAAAAGTAGATAAACAAATGTGATAATTGCTAGCTAAGCAAGAATCATTATAACTTAAAGGACAGTTTTCCATTTATACCAGCAAAGAAAAGCTTTAAAAAGTATAATTTGAAATAATTTGAACATAAAGAAAAAAGAATCACTTTACCATGTTCAGAATAAGTCCACACCCTGGAAAACCGCATACTTGGTGCATAGTGGAGGAGCATCCTCTTTCAATTCAATGATTTTCATTGTATCATTTAAAGAGCTGTGTGTGTTTCACTACTGGCTAATGTAAGAAACAAAGCTTCAGTAGATGGCCTCCAAAGACAGGAAAAGATCGAAAGATAGTATGGTCTTTTCTTCTTCAAAGTACATTGTACAATCATTTGCAGACTCCAAAATCAAAAGACAGACTCTGAAATTCAATTTCACTAATTTGATGGACTATAGATTGTTATCCCATGAGAATGTACTATTGCTTCCTTTTCTTAAAAAGGAAGAAGAAAAAGAAAACTCCACGTGATTAAACAGAATTAGTATAGTGATTCTTCATACAATGTTTATCAGACTGCCCTATACTCAAATATCCTTAAAATATGCAAAAAAAGGTTTTTGAGAAGATAATTTGAAAGACAAATTTTATTCCAAATAGCTTTGTAGTGATAATAGACCTTTCAATGTCTTTATTTATAAAGGTAGATTTGTGATGATTTGAATGATCTTCACAATATTTAATAGCAAATAAGGAGTGTGCTGTGAAATCTTCATGGTGTCAATCATTTCAAACATAAATTACAATGATAACTATAGTCTAGAAGCACAAGATGGATGAAATTAAAAGCATGACCATGGTTCCAGGTTCTGAAAAAAAGGATTAAAATGTCAAAAAAGTAAAACAAAAGTGAACCCCCAAACTGGCTACATTATCATTTTGTGTGTGTACATGATGTATGCATATGTGCACATTGTGTGTGTGTGTGTGTGTGTGTGTGTGTGTGTGTGTGTATGATATGGCACATATGTGGAGGTCAGGGGACAGCTTCGGGTTTTAGATCTGGCCTTACACCTTGTTTGAGACAGAGTTTCTTGTTTACCTCTGCCCAAGACAGGTTAACTTGTTTGTCAGTTTCCAGGAATTCTGTCTCCATCTCCTACCTTGCCATCACAGCACTGGGTTGCATATGTGTACTACTATACCTGACTCTTCATGGGTTCTGGGCATTCAAACTCGGGTCCTCACACTTGCACAGCAAGCATGTCACTCACTGAGCCATCTTTTCATACTTTAAAGAGTATCTCGGTGGCATTTGCTATTTTATAAAGATAATAACATCAATCATACCTCTCCATTCACTCCTTTATGCCCTTTAGTAACACATGGCAACACCTCGCTAATGAAACAGCTTCCCCGCTTGAAAATCATACAACTTTAAATTTAATTTTTCCAATGTTATTTTATGGCAATACTATTTACAAGATACAAGTAACAAATATGCCCTTTCTCTGAATCTGAGCAATAAAAAGTTGAGCATAACCAAAATTTTTACATAGCCTTATTTATTGTCAAGTGCTTTTCAAATTAAGGATTGTGGAGACACTGTAAAACACAAAACTGCTTTCTGTCAACCAGATTTAAATCTGTTTGTGTGCTTTAAATATTAGTATATTTAATTGTATTTAAAAGCATGGGTGGCATCAGTAATAATTCTCAATTAAGCAGCATCAGAGTCAAACTGAAATGTTTGCCCAGGCTCCTGTTTAGAGCCTTACAGATGGACCCCAATTTTCATGTGTGTTCAAAGTTACATCAAACCTTACTGTGCTTCTTGCTTTCCCTAGAAGTTTTGGTAGATTGCCAGAGGCAGGTGACTATAAATACAGGACACTCGTAAGCAATTAGGATACTTAGTTTGCCAGAACTCCCTAGTCCCTGAACATTCTGGATAAATGGGTATTTCCTGCTCAGGAAAGCCATGTGCTCTCCCACGTCTCCTTTGCTATTCAGATAGTAAGGCTCACAAAAGCTGGCAAAAGGAATTTGTTACAAAGAGAGCCTGTCTATATACAGAAGCAGCATCAAATCAACAAAATTAGATTAGATTTTAGAACGACAACAACAAAACAGGCCTAGCAAGATGGGTCAGTGGGTAAGGGCACTTGTGACCAAACCTGATGACCTGAGTCATCATGGTGGAAGGAGAGGTAGACATGTTGTCCTTTGATCGCCACATGTGTGTCATGGCTTGCATATACACACATGAAAGAGAGACAAAGCGAGCCCACACCATGATCCTAGTAGATTATTTCAGAGGCAAAATGTACAGCTGTATGGATGAGTCAAACCCTGATAGAAAGAGCCTTTTGAGTGAGAGTGCTTGCATTTGAGAGGCACATGGAGAGATGAATAACAGCAGGCTAAGTGTCTGAACTTTCATTAGAGTACAATTGTAGTCCCAAGTCCTAATGGACTTACATAATAGAACTCACCCCCATTTCTAACTAGGCATCAAGAGAACACTCTTTTATTTGTTCTAGGACCTTCATCCCTTTGTGCTTTGATTTTATCATCAGGAGAGTGAAGGCATGTATCCCTTCCCATTACACTGTGACTCTACCTCCCAAGATGGTTAGTGCAAAGTCAATTTGAATAAGTAGAAAGTACCCTGTTGAATGCATGACATACGTTAAAGTCCTCTCATTACTAGGCACCGAGCTCAGCATCTCAGCATTGCACAGGTGACATCTGTTGAGCAGATACATCTCTGAAGTAGAAAATCAATGTCTTTATGGCAAGCCATTGTTTCAAATGTGCACTGTACAATTTAGCTCACATTGTCTTTCTTCGCAGCAGTGATGATTTGTAAGACACAACCTGTGCCCTTTCTTCTGTACTCACAGAAATGACAACTCCGAGAAACAGCAGCTAGAAGCTGGCAGAGCTGATTCAAACCTCAGTCTGTGCAATGCCAGATCTGGTGTGTGGTTTTCCATCATACCACATTTCTTCTTTTGGTTGCTGCATTCTTTAAAGAAAGGATTTTTTAGTTCATATAAGGAAATTCTCCAAAGCAATCATGATACCTAATTTGAAGCATTCTGTCTAGAATTTATTGCCATGGTAAATATTGAAAAGGTTCTTTATTTTGATGGTTTAAGGATCATGGGAGAATCCAAACCCTTTACGTCCAAGTGGTCATTAGTTAACTCGGAAAACATCTGGAAATCCAAAAATCTGTAAACTGGTAGTATCATGTACAATTTTCTCTATCAGGACAGAGATGTGTGGAAAAAGGAATGTTTCTTCATTATGTTCCACTGCACCAGGTGCTGATAAGGGGTAGAGAGTGATTAAAGACCACAGTTTTTTGTTTTGTTTTGTTTATCTTTTTGAGACAGGGTCTCCTTGTAGCCCCAACTGTCCTGGAACTCGCTATGTAGACCAGGCTGGCCTCGAACTCACAAAGTTCCACCTGCCTCTGCCTCCCTAGTGCTGGGATTAAAGGTGTGCACCACCACCCCCGGCCTAAAGATCACATATTAAGAAAATTGATAGACAGAAATAAAAGCTAGAACTTTCCAATACAATGCCCCAGTTTCTAGCTCACCAGGACAGTGTGGAAAATTATGAAGAGAGACTTTGTGGACAGAAGGCTAGTGGCATGTGTAGCTAGGCAGGACAAACTGAGGGGTAAGCATTGATGTAATAGCCTTAGGCAGTGTTATTTGAATTCAGACCCACTGCCTAAATAAGAAAGAATGTGAGGAACACTGTGTCTACCAAGGCAAGGGACAGGGACAGGCTCAGTGTGTGGGAAGTCGGGAATGGCCAGGAGAAATTGAGGGAGCCTGCCACGTGGAACACAAACAAGGCTGCAGCTAGCAGAAGGAACGTTTGCTACTCACTAGACTTGAAGCTGTGGGAATCTAGGCAAATTCTGACAGTGAAATCATTTGCTTCTTTTTGGGGGGAGGTGGGGAGGAGGAAAGGGTTTAATCTTATCAGTTTAATATCATTTGCTTCTTTACCTGTGGGTCAGCCTTAGAACAGAAACCAAATTAATTCTAAAGTATCTGATAAAATAAATCAGATCTGTGCTCAGAAATGACTTTAGAGTCAAGTGAGGCGGCAAGGAAGGCAGGGTAGTGAAGGGCATAGGAGAAGAAAGCATGGCTCTGGCTACATTCTCCCCTTTGCAGTCTCCCCCTCCTCCTTTATTCTGCAAGCGGTAGAGGTAAAAGCAAAAGAATTTGCAGACAAATTGAGTACAGGAAATCTAAGTGTCCTGGCATGAAGTATGCCCACTCTAGACATAATCAGTATCCCTTATCCCCATTACTGGAGGTAACGGGGGACAACATGGGACTTTGATGGGAAGAATAAAAATTCAGCATCCACATGCTACACACAGAACAGTCCTTTCCACCTCTGCACAAGCAGAATCTTAGTTTACGTCATAGATGGCTGCTCAGATCCATATTTTTGGCCAGACAATCTGGGATCTGATAGGATCCTAAAGATCCACTAATCCACTCTACTGTCTTACATAGGATGCACTTACTCCTTCCACAGAGAGGATTCTGTTCAAAGAAAGAAAAAAAACCCATATAATCCTCTCTAATTCCGTTGTTGAAAAACTGCAACAAAGAGCAAAAGGCAAGTCAAACATCGTACAAAGAACACAGGTCAGGAGATCCAGGATCAAACCCCGATGTCACCATTTAGTGGTCCTCAGTTTGCCCACAGGCACAAAGGGAATATGATTGCTGCCCTGCCCACTTAAGGTGTTATGGGAAAAGCTAATGAAATTAAGCAAATTTTGATTGTTAAGGATAGTTAACATATGGCAGCAGTATTAAGAAATGCTTAATTTTAGCAAATTAAATTCCATTTCTTAGTAGGAACAGAGGAAATATAATCACATGCTTAAAATAAGACACATGTTGACATTTAAAAGACCTATGTAAAACAGCCCCTCTGCCATTCTTTATTCCTTATTCTACCTCCCCTTTTTGGCTGACTTGCTCTCTTGGCTGACTAAGCCTATCCTAGAAGTCTAATTTTACAATCCTTTCAGAATCTAATTCTGATTTTTATAGAACGTTATGCTGGAAGGACTTTTAGAAAACCAGTTAGTACCACTTCTTTCTTTCACTTGGAGGTGGAGACTTTACCAAGGTTACATAGTGACAGAGTTGGCACGAAAACTGGGACCTACTGCCTTTTTCACTGTGATTATTTTTTGAAAACCATAACAGAACAAAACGGTGGCAGGGAGGAAACATGCAGACCCAAAGCTACAAGCAAGACATTGCTTTGGAGAATTCTTACTGTATTCTTCTTGCACGTAGGAGTTTTGTTTATTAATTGCAAGCTGTCAGAAGGTGAGACCATTTCAGATCAAGGCAAATCAAAGAAGCTGTTTTGGGGTCACAAAGGAGCTTTTTTCTGTTTTTAATTTAGGAACTGAAAATCTGCAAGGATATAGAAAGCCTGCTTTTTAACCTATTCCTGACCACGTACATATTTTAGCTTCCCCCTGGACTGCTAGGGACTCTAAAGACTAATGAAGAATGCATTTCAAATGCAAAATATTCACACACATTTGTACACACCCATGCACACGTGCACATACACACACATGCACACATACACACTTCCAGAGGAATAAAAGCATTTCAAATGCAAAATATTCACACACATTTGTATACACCATGCACATGTGCGTGCGTGCGTACACACACACACACACACACACACACACACACAAACACACACCTCCAGAGGAATGAAAGCATTAACCAGCAAACCCCTGATATTTTTTATTTTTTCATTCAGGGTATAAAGAGCCCTGGATTTCACAGGAAAGATTAGCAAATGAAGCATTAGCTGAAGTTCAATAAAAACAGTACAATACAAACCAGGATGCATTTTGCTAAAGTCAAAAGTGGCTGTCAGAAGAGTAGAATTTGCTGAATTTTCTGATGTGGTTTTCATCAGAAACTTAGGCTTGTAAATCCTTAGAAGCAATTGTTTCCATTGCAATGCGTGGCAGCTCCTTTTTCCTGCCCCACAAATGAAGTCAAAGTCAGCTCTGGTCAAGTAGCCCAGTTAAGCCCCAACAAGAGTGTAGTTAGGGTGGGTTTGGGGCATGGAGCCTCAAGTGAAATTCAAATTTTAAAACAAAGATAGAATCAGAGGGAAACCAAACCAGGCCAGGGACTGATAATGGAACAGCCAACATCTACCTGTCACCAGGCAAAAAGACACCAGAACTTGCAGACAGAAATTAAGATAGCCTAGGCTACTGCTCTTGCTTGTGTAACAGTTCGTGGCCTGTACACTCCACTGCCAGGGATCACAGGCCACTGTAAAACAGTGTAGCTCCAAGGTTGTGGCCGCATTTCAATACTTTACCTAGAGCTGTGGGTCAGCAGAAGCTAACTGGAACTCTGACAGCCAGCTAGGCTTGTTGCCTTCACACTTCTCTCACAGGTCTCTTTGATTATCAAGTGTTTACCAGAAGGCGCATGCAAACACACACATACACACACACACACACACACACACACACACACACACGCATGCACACGCACAATTGATCAGCAGTCCCCCAGAAAACTTACTGCAACACATCCCAAATCACTGCACACGACTGCACACCCACTTCAAATTCCAGTTCTTTTTAGAAATTTCAAAACTGCTATTAATATTAATTCGATTTTAAAAAACATAAAATTACAGTTACAAAGTTTGATTCAGTTTAAAGCTGAAGTTTCTTTGCTTCTCTTAGCTGCTAAGTTACTCCTGAAATACAATGCAAGGCTTAAGTTTAAGGATACCCACTCTACTCACCTGAGCTATCCCAGGAGCCCTGCTGCTGCTGCTGCTGCTGCTTCTTCCACCGCCGCCACTCTTAGCCAGGTAACCCCACTAAGTGTGTTCACTCACTGCAGCTGAACAAAGATTCTGGCTTTCTTAACCTGAAAACTATTTGGGCTGTACCAAGCTCTGCTCACAGGGGGAGGTGCTTCACAGCAACTTCAGGAGTCTCTGCCCCGCCCAGTATTCAGAAACTGATCCTGAGTCATGAGGAAAATCTGGAAGGAGTCCCTGCCAGATGTGCAGATGAGATGCCCACTCCAGATCCACCCACCAGCAAATTGGAAAACCCAGAAAGCCACATTTGAAAGCCCTTTCTGTTTCAAGGAGAAATTGAACTTTCAGGAAGCGGGTCTGTTGCTTTCTAACTTCTCTGTCCCAGGGATAAAATTGCAGACATGGATATTACTGGAGAAAGGACATAAACAGCAAAAATGTTGAAGTGTCGGCAAAGTTCTAGGGAGCTAGCTTGCAGACATGGCCCTTGTCTGCACTTTTATGATAGCAGCGAGGACTTCAACACCAAGTAGGAATGAAGGGGTACCTAATAGCATGCAGGGACATAATGGTCACTTTGTGAAGGAGCAAGTAACATTTAGCCAAGGGCAGGGGGAAGGAAGGTGAGCAGAGTTTGATTCCATGGCCCTGCAAGTAGCCTGATTTCTAGCAACAGCATGGTGGAGATTCTGCCAAGCAAACAGTGTAGGATGAAAAGTGGGGCAAACGACAGCTCTGAAAAGGTCAACCAAGAAGTTTTAGTGGGACGTTCAGCCTCCGGTAAAAAGTGTGCTGAATCCCAGGGTCTTGGTCGCTTTATCCTGAGATTTTCATAAGGACAGAACTGAAGGGATGTGATCCCCATGGATTTTGTTGATTTCATATTCACAAATTGTGGAGGCTCCCACTATCTCATTCAACATATTTCCAGCCCAGTATACTGTTTACCATTGAACCTAAAATTAGATTCTGCCCTTAACCCTGCGCTGATGCTCATTCTGGTTAGTTGAAGGTTTAACAGAGGAGGAGGGAGAAGGAGGGAGGGAGAGAAGGAGGGAGGGAGGGAGGGAGTAGAGAGCCAGCAAACATCTAACATCTAACAGGGAAAGGATATATGCTATCCCTACTCCTTGGCTCTATACCAATATTTTTCATGAAGCGGATCTAAGCATTTCTATAACCAAATCTTGGAGAATTCCCCCTTGACATTTTCCTTTGTGTGTTTTTTATGCCAAGATGGAAATTGAGCTACAGTTAGGGGGCAATACAAAATGCCAGAGCCCAGGAGAATTAGGCCTTTAAATATTGCCACCCAATTTGGCTCAAGAGTGAGGGATTTCTTAAGCAAATATGCCTTACGTAAGATTTTGGCTTTGAAATCAAGGGAGGATGTTTTGTCTGGGCTCATCTTCGTCCATGCTTTCAATCTCCATAATTTACAAATAAGTAGGAAATCATAAAATGTGAAAGCAGTAAAGCACTACCTATATACTTGCTCAGTATAGAAATAGCCTCTGGATAATCTGGAAAATTCACTCTTATATAAGGTAGTATATTCCATATTTGACCATTCTTCAAATTGTTAAATTGTCTTCCTTAGGTTGAACAAACTTTAGCCTCATACAAACTATATCTAATTTTTCTTTCACACAGCAGCCATTTAGAATATCTGTCATGGTAAGTCAAGCCATCCTTCCTCAGATTAACATCCTCAGGTCTTTTACACTGTGCCTGATAAGATACGGTTTCCAGATCTTTTTCTGTTCTTGTTGTCTTTTGAGCGTAAACCTGCCCTGTGTATAGCTTGTAGCTTAATTAAAACCCTCTGCAGTTTCTTGCTTGAGCTCCTATTGAGTACCTCATCCTGTATTTGTACAACTGACTTTCAGTTTAACCTCCATGTGGAGCTTATATACATCTTCATAAACCTTCTCCCTCTTTATTTCAATCTATCCCTTTTCTCAAATTTTCTTTCATTATTGCACCTCTAAATGGAATTTTTAGGCATAGTGCACTATAGCTCCTAGATACTTAATATAACAGATGTACTCTATAGATGTTTGTGTACTGTATCTATCTATCATCTATCTATAATTATATATCATCTATCACCTATCTATCTGTCTATCATCTATCTATCTATCTATCTATCTATCTATCCATCCATCTATCTATCTATCTATCTACCTATCTATCTGAAAGGGGACAATATTACCACCATTATGAATGCAAACTCTATAATAGTAAGGCTTTTAAAATATTTTATTTATTATTTTAATTTATTTTATGTGTATGAGTGTATTGCCTGCATGTATTTAAGTACACCCATATGTGCAATGTCCATGGAGGTCAGAAGAGGGCATCAGATCCCCTGGAACTGTAGTTACGAACAGTTGTTAGCTGCCATCTGGGTGCTGGGAACCAAACCTGGAACCTCTACAAGAGCAGCCAGTGTTCTTAACTGCTGAGCCATCTCTGCAGCCCCTAATAGTAAGCTCTTTATCTGCATATTTTATTAGTTTCTAATAAATGCATTGAATGAGGCAGGATTAGAACAGATTATTGCAGTGCCACCTTAAAGTCCTGTCCTTATTAACAATCACTTTGAATAAGGTTATTCAAACCTGAAGCAATACTTGCAACTCTGGCTACTACTCAGCTCCTATTTTGCCATTTTCTTTATGGTATATATAGATATTTTCAACCATCTTAATGAAATTCAGATACATTATACTATGATGTTCTTCTCATCTCCCCCTGTAGATAGCATTTCAAAAAGGAAATGGGCTTAATTAGGCATGACTTGGTTTTGTAAGCTCATGCTTACCCCTAGTGATTTCCGCTCTCTGTCTAAAGCCTCACAAATGACCTGCTTAATAGTGCGTTCTATACTTTTGTCAAGAATCAATGCTGTGCTCACTGGTCTTGAGTTTCCAAGATTTATAATTCACATCCTCAGTACCACCGTCCACTGTCACTAAAAATCAGGCTGTTTGCCTCTTTGAATCTCTCATCTCTTCCCTTGACTACGATTCTCAAAGGCTACCAAGATTGGTGTTCTGATCACATCTCCACATGCTCTCAGTAGCCTGGGGTGTAATTTGTCTGAGTCTGGAAACTTGAACTCATTGAAGGAAGCTAAGTACTCCCTTATTATCTCCTCATCTATCTTGGGTTTAAATTCTCTTTCCAGTTCAAAGATCATGCTCCTTGATGGAGAGGTTAAGTAGCTTGCCTGTGGTCACACAGCTAGTAAAATGGCCGAGCTGGGATTTCAGTTTACGCTGGCCTGCCCCTACTCTGGCTGTTTACCACAATGGTCTGTATTTTTCAGATAGCCAGTGACTTATTAGGATATGATCTATTGCGGGGGGTGTGTTCAAAGTGGAGGAGAGATGTTCTATCAAGTGTTGCAAGGCAGGCTTTGTCAAAGGGGTTGAATTTGAAGTGAATCTTCAAGAATAAGTACAATTACAGTAGGAAAGGAGAAATGATGTGTGCATGTGTTGGCATAGGTAGTGGAGGAGATTGGGGATATATCCCTCAGAATAACAAAGCACCTGGGAACTGCCTCATAGTCTACTTGGCTATCCAAATACTGACACTGTATATGGTTAAGAGATACCCAGGCTGTTCCTGTCTTTCCTCAAAAACTATTCATTGAAGCTTTGTTGCTTGCCAGTTATACACCCTAGGGCAAGGCACAGTCCTTCTGATAAATAGCTTCTTGCTCTATAAAATGGGAATAATAATGGGCCTATTTTTTTTTTTT